TATTTGAAAGCTCTTCCAGAGTTACTGACTTGCATCAAGCCTGTTTTCCCTCTTTGCAAAAAAGGGTGACATTTCATATGCCAGGGATCTGCTGCTACTTAATGCTGAAGGGCCTTTCATAGATAAACGGGAGAATCACATGCTGTTTATCTCACAATCTCCACAGTTAGTGGGTTTATGTATCTGCACCTGGTCACATTACCACGAGTCAGCAGTGTTCCCGGTCGCTGTTTACCGTTGCCCTCCCTGACGCATTATCATTGCCCTGGCAGGCCTCCGGGAGGGTAAGCTGAAACTGCCCGTGCCCGAAAACTGCCCGTCCAGAGTCTACAAGCTGATGGCCAGGTGCTGGGCCACCAGCCTAAAGGACCGCCTCTCCTTCAGCGAGGTTGTCAGCGTACTGAGCGAGCTGCCCTCTGACACCAAGGTCTGACGTGGGAGGAAGCAGGGTTGGGGGGGGGGGGATTGCCAGCTGGAGGCTTCCCATTCCAGCACACTCCCTCAGACTATGAACTTTAAACCCCCCCCCAGCAAGCTTGCGACCTTTCATTAGAGAGATGGATGGGAGGGGGCTGTAAATGTAACAAAATGAATGACACTTTTTATTTGATGTGGATGTCAAATGAAGAGGTCGGAGAGGGTCACCTGCCTTAAACTGCCCCTGCTGGGACAAGATGCTCCTCAGCACTGATGCACAGGCTCCTGGGAGCTACCTCTGTGAGACACTTTGCTTGGCCTTACTCCTCTACCAGATCCAGGGAAGGAAGATGTCTGCAGTGAGCTTGCCCATCCTGAGGGTGGCGCTGTTGCTTGTATTCCCCGGTCTGGGACCACAGTACATTCGATGTCAGGAAAGTGAACATATTTTGAATTGACTGAGTAATGAAATACTGTCACAGTTAGTGTTTACTTCTGGAATGAAAGAGCATCATTTGAAGGGCACAAGCTTGAAAAAACTATTTCTGAAGGCCTAGTCTGTTACTTGTGGTCCCGAGACCTGGAATCATCTATTTAAAAAAACGTACTTGGACCATCTTGATTAACAAGATGCCAGGTCTATAAAGTACGGTTCATAGAAGCTATTATTATTATTTTTTTTTTTATTATTATTATTATTATTAACAGTCTCCTTTGTTGCTGTGTGAATGTTGTGTTTTTATCTATAGCCACATAGTGGTTTTTTTTTTTTTGTTTTGTTTTGTTTTTTTTTAATCCTCCGGTGCTCTTGGGGGCGACACGTCCACCATATGCCCGTCTCGGCGGTTCTGGAAGCCAAACTGCAGAGGTCACGATCCGGCATGGTCCTGCCACTAGGATGCCTCACCTCAGTGGGCCCAATTTCCCCTCCCTGAACCGGCCCAATCGGAACCTGCCAGGCCGCAGTCTAGACCCACCCGTCCGCTGATCTGCGTGCTGCGTGGTGAATGTGCACTGACCATACTTGGTCTTCACTTTTCTATTATGTTCTAGAAGGATTTACAGGAACCTGTATTTATCAAAGAGGGACCTGACATCATTTATTTGTTCCAGAATGGTACCATTTCACTGTTTTTTTTTTTATGGATGTATATGTATTCAGCATTTTATAATCCTTCATTATCCTCATCATGTTTGGTAAACAGAGCCAGGATAAAATAGCTATATATGTATAAACCTGGGAAAGGTGAGAGTATGGATGTCACTGTTACCACTAACAAGTAAGTGCCTGTTAAATGAAGGATTTCACCATTATTTTTGTACAATATCTGAACAAACTGCCTTCTGTTTTTAGTAACAATTTTGTATTTGAAATTTTCACTATGAATGACGTTTGTTTCTTTTTAAAAATATGGCTAATTTAATTGGATAGCTTTTTATCTGCGTTTATTTTACAAAAGCCACACACTGTGGTTTTTGATCTGCTTCTGCACGTGGTTACAGTAGCCCACATGTACACAAGCTGCTCTCAATAAAGCTTCACTTTTGTTCCCCACTGACTGCCATTGATTTACTGCGGCTGCCCCGTCTATGGAAGGCGCGCGCAGCTTGCTGCGGGATCTGTCTGTCCTTTTGACGCTTTGAGTTGCTTTCAGTGGGATGTTGGTTTACCGTCATTTACATCATGTGGTCACTAGGTGGCGCTTTACATTTAGAATGAATGCGGTCAAACTAACAACATTTACTTTGGGACATATTTTAGCTATTTAATGATTTCAGTACAGGTATTTTTTTAATTATAGGAAATTAATTTTATTGGGGGCTCTGGGTGGGAGGCTTTTATTTTTTCCCACAGTGTAACAGAAGCTTTTCTTTGATTTACAAGCTTGTTCTGAGCACTGTAGACCGACAAAATAAAAAAAAAAAATCATGTCTCTCATGTTCCAAGACCTCCTTGTGGTTTGACATACCTGCTCTCAAACTGAAGGCATGCATTTCTCTCAGGGCTAAGCACAGAGGAAATGGTGGTCAAATTATTTCAGTAAATGTGCTACGTTGGCGTGTTCTTTAGAGCCGTCAGTAATGCACCTCCCAGCCCACCCCCAATCCTGAGCCACCCACATACCAGGCCATCTTCCCAAACATCTAGCCACCCCAGAACCACCAGCTATCAGGGTCAGCTTCTTCGATTTGCAAAGTTCTCGTGCAGATTTAGTATCTATGTGAAAGTCGGAGGCACCGTGTTTTCTGTTTGCCCCTTTGCTGTAGCTGCTCTCTTCTACCAGGAAGCTGCCGCGTGGAGTGGAGCAGTTGATGCACACGGCCTTTGGTGTCAGAGGTGGCTACATTTGCCACATCTTGGCTGGATCAGTTCGTTAAATATGGAACAAATGAGGCCATGTAGCCCTTAGTGGACCCCGTTGCATCTCAGGAGGGTGGGTCACATGACCACGTCAGAATTCATTTCATTTTGCTGTGATCTATCTATATATTATATACTATCACTCCCAAGCAGAGGGATTCTCACAACAGGATTATAGTGCCAGTTCAGCTACTAACTGGTTTAACACACTAGCCGGTGGTTTAAAACTTATAGTATATATTATAGTACTATAGTAAAAATTATAGTAAGTGGTCTGATTTACATAAAAAAAAAATATGACAACTTGAGGAATTCTCATGCATGGTCCTACCAACTCAAGGAGCAACTAGATTCTGTAAGCAAGGTGGATCCGTGATTCTGACATGCAGGCCTTCCTATAAGGCCTGCTCGAGCGCTCACAGCCGCTGTTGCTCACCGTGTATGCTTCGAGGAGCTTCTAACAGCTTGTGCGCCGTCTGCATCTCGGTTATCATCTGTGCCAGGAAATGTTTAGCCACGGCTAATGGCAGTAGCTGGATTTTGTGATGCCTGTTTGCCAGAATCAGAATACGATGCGTATTTTTAAAGAATAGATGCTGGGGAAACACCCACAGTCTTCGCTTAGCCGAGCAGGGTCGCCTGATGCCTTCTCCAAAGTTCTTAACGGAGTGAAGTAACAGACATAAAATGCTTATTGTTATTAAGAGTATTATAGGCAATAGAGCTTTCTTGTCCAAGGGATTTTGCCATAAGGTGGACTTTTTATGCATTGCTTAACTTCCATTGACAAATCAACATGTCTATGCAGTAACATTTGTATCACATAGCCCAGACCACCGTGATTCACATATTGTCACTCCAAGCTCCATGTCGCTAGAAACCTTCCACCTTGACTCCGGGTCCAATCAAATTAACATGGCATTGCCTTCAAGCTGTTTCTATGGAAACAGTGCTGTCTGCTGTAATGCATGGTATAGAAAAGCTATAGAACATTCAGACAACTCTGGATCTGTGGATATGATTTCTCTCTCATCTGTGTTTGCTCAAGTAGCTTTGCAGTGATATGTGCACTTGAATCCCTCAGAGGAATGATCAGCAACTTATATTATGCTGTGTTACATAAGAACTTACCATGGTATGTCTTGTTACACAAGAACCCCTCTAAGAGATATATACTGGCACTATTGATTCCTGTGATATACTGTGATGTGTTTCTATGCCATCGTCATGCTACATTTAATGAGAATGCGTTGTGATATTTGCATTTTCTTTTTTGCTCTAGGCTAGAGTGTCACTACAGAGGCATGAATAGCTGGTGGCTTTGCTGGGGAGGGAGGTCTGATTTTAATGAAAATGAATGAGAATGCAGTATTTAAACTAACGTACATTTATCTGGAGTTGGATAGAGCCCACCTGCCTAAAACAGCCCTGGGGGCACCACTGCCTCTAGGATTGGTGGTTCACATTGCGCTGGCACTTTCGAGTCAAGGTTATGCGTTTTCCAGATGTGCTGCCTTTTGCAGTCCACAGGCCTGCAGTTTAAGTGAATCAGGGTTTTAAATTGTCCATGGTGTATGTGCCCTGCAATGGACTGGCATCCCAGGTAGGTGCCCAAGCCTTGGAATTTATGCCACCGCAACCATGCACTTTGTGACTGATGAATAATTAAGCATAGCTGTTACACTTCCGTTACATTGGAACACATCTGCAATTGCTTATCATATGCATGTGTGTGCTGTTTAAATTACACACAAACTCGCCATAACCATTTGGTGGCTTTGGATAAAGGGCGACGATAAAATGTTAAGCCATAGTATAAGATGGATGGTAGAACATCGACATGAAGTTACTGATTTTATAAATTAATATAAAGCATGCAAGTATTTTGGTGAAATTAAAATATAGCACCCAATATGGAATCTGAATCACCACTGAACTAATACGAAACTTGTTTCTCAATATGATCAAACAAAGCCTTAAACCCTCTGTATAATCCGTGCAGGCAAGCTTACAAACTAGCGCGTGCTACACCACCACTTTTTTTTCTTCTTCTTTTGTCGGGGTGACGTAGGGATGAGCGCAACCATTTTGGTATTTATTATAATTAGCATTTTGGTTTTGACGAATGGCGGCCTAGCTCACACGTTCAGCGACGAATCAAAGTGCGACGTTGTGACTCACCAAATAAGGAGATAGACCGCCATAAAAGGAAACATTGGATCTCTTTATAAGGAGGAAAGTAGATCTCGGGTCGGTATATCAATCCACGCTCAGGTAATTTTTTCTAAAAATCAGAGTATATGTATCAATATACACCACTGTACCGCAGCCTAATTAAATATCTAAACAGTGCGTTGCAGCGAGGTTGCCTCTAAGAGGCAAGTCGGCGACATTTTATAGGTTTACTAGGTGAACTACATAACATGGCGGAGCGATCGGAAGGTGGTTGTGCGCGTTTTCCTTTTGGAGAAGTGCAGCGAGTTTTGGAAATTGGAGAGGTTGAGCTTGACTGAACTAAGGTGAAGGCTTTTGGGGGGGAACTTGCCACTTCTGAAACTTGCCTCACTAGTTATAGGGGGACCTGAGGCATTTTTTCCCTCCCCTCACACCCTGACTGTTAGTTCTTCTTGTTCGTTTATCTGCGGCTGACTGGTATATAGTGGACTTGGGGACACAGGCGCTTGGCTAGCGTTCAGAGGCATTGGTTGTCTTCTGAATATAATGCTACCTAGCCAGGCTGGCTCGCCACCGATAGGAAGCGGGTCAGCGTCCGACGGGGACAACACAGGTCACGGCACGGTGGTGCTCGGAAGCGGGAACCGCGCCAGCTCGGTGAGAACGGGGTTTATAGTGACTGGGCTCAGCGACAACGCCGGCAGCGCGGTCGGGCGCCAGAGGGACGCATCGGGGATGCTGGGGGGAAACGGGGCAGGCGTTGGTTCCAGAGGTGGGGCAAGGCCGGGGAACGGAGCGGGGCTAAGCGGGCTGCAGAACGCCAGCCAGGCGGGTATCGGCGGTATGAGTGCGGGAGTCGGCGTGCCCGGCGGCGCCAGGTATGACATGAACAGAGAGAGCGCACAGCAGGTGTGTAGCGGCTCCGAAGCCGACTCGGACTCGGGAGATGACGATGACCCGATGGGTTCAGTCGGGGACAGCCGCAGGGCGGTGAAGCGAGAGAGGGCGGAGATGGAAGCGGCGGCGTCCGCGGGACAGGAGTCTTGCATGCAGCCTGGCTATGGCGTAGCCTCGGGGAGCGTCACTGGGGCCAAGCCCGGGAAGAAGACCCGCGGCAGAGTGAAGATTAAAATGGAGTTTATCGACAATAAGCTGCGGCGCTACACAACTTTCAGCAAGAGGAAGACTGGTATAATGAAGAAGGTGAGTGTTTTTCCACTTGCTGTGTTTTAAGAATTTCATTACATAATGGAATGTGAACATCACCTAACAGTTTCTGTAACAGTTTCGGACCGCGAGTGCACGCTCGTTCGTTTAATTCGTGCAAGACCTCAAAGCTCATTTAGTGACTGCATTTATCAAAGGGCGTTCATATTGGCGGTGTGCAGGCATTTTCTCAGTCGCAGTGACAGCTCTACTGAGGGAGGGGATTACACCGTGGTTATAATTAATAGTTCTTGATAAAAGCTAATATTATTGCGGGAAACCCGGGATCTTCGCGTAAAAAACCGCGTGAATGTTTACAAGCGCGAGGAGGAGGGTCTGTGCACGTGTGCCGTTTGGGTGTCACGGAGGGACCCCACGCCTCCCGCGAGCCGCAGCAGGGGACACATGGCAGACGGTACCTTGACGCGGAGCTTTGCCGTATGGTGCTCTGTGCACACCTTAATCTGCGGAAGGCCGAGGGAAAGCGTGTGTCAAATATTTGTAACGTGGCCAGACCCGGCTGTGTGTGCGCGTGTTTCAGGGTTTTGCATTTTGCCTTTTGCTTTAATCACTCATGGATACTTTCTCTTCCCCGACAGCACTGTTACGGTATATATCAAATGTCTAGGATGTTAATGGATGACGATTAAACGTTGCACGAAAACTTTGTTTTAATGCTTTGTTAGATTCCTTTTAAGTGTAGTACTGTTTGCAATATCTACCTGAAAAGGTGACTCAGTCTGCTCTGTGGCCAGATGTATCTTCCATAAATATCTACCTGATTTGCCAGCCGCAACACGTGTGTCAGGTTCTTACTACTAGGCCTAGAGCATGCATGCATGCCTGCAGCCAAAACTCTGCAAGGGTGCAACCCTCTGAGGGACCTGGTAGATGTTATCTTGTATCCTGTTATCTGTCACTAATTTTTACAGTACTGAAAATAGAACTCTGATTTGTCTGCTACTTAAAGCATCTGTTTACCTGTATATGGGTCTGTTAAATGTTGGCACCCATAATTTTAAAAATAACTAGTGTCTGGTATCGTTTACAAAATGCATTGCCTTCAGAGTATGAGCCGCTTGTTATAATATTGTAAAATGATTGTTTTGACATGCTAGGACTTGACACAACTGGCTAACCATTGCTTTTTATTTCTCATGATCCCCTGTAGTATCTGTACAAATATTGTCCATATTCATCATGCTCTGCTTGTGTTGTGTGGTTTTAAAAGGCGGCACCCACAATGCCCTGGTTGCTCTCAGCTGGCGCTGGTGGCACTGGCCCAAGTTGAGTCTGTGCTGTGGACTTTCTTCTAGCTGGGCAGGTGATTTCTTTTAGGTCCACAGAGGCTGGGTGTTCCTGCATTGATTTCTCGCTCTCTCCATTCCATCTGGTAGAATGAGCCCTGTTGATTTAAATCAACTTAAAGTTTGACTTGTGCCTTTTTTTGTATTCGTACGGCTGGGTTCCTTTCTTACTGTGGGTTATAGTGGCAAATTACAGGTATTTGAGGATAAAGGGGGGACTTTCAGCCTGTTCTTGGTTTCCTGACCTTTTCGACCATTAGCTGCCTTGCAGAAGTACATGCCTGTGTGATCAAGTGACTGTTTCATGCATCAGCCTAGTTTAACAGCCTCTATGCATAATCTGCCTATTAAAACCTGTTCATGGGGCCTCACTGGTCCTTTACCTGCACTGTCCCTTCTCAGTGTCTAAGACTGTCCCCATACTTGAGATGATATTCGGGTAATTAATCATAGCTGGTCATTAAAATAATATTAATCTCAGGTTTTTTGGCCAGGTGGGTCGGCATCTTTTAGTTCAGAATTGCTAATCAGTTGCCCTTACTGAAGATTATCTTGTCACATTTGTCACTGCTGAACCTTTCCCAGGATGCTCCTGCTGTTACTCTCTTGCTGGAACTGTCAGGCTATTGTGCTGGAAACACTTCAGACACATTTTTATGTGCAACATGTAGGATAGAATATAGTAGAGTTACAACTAAGTTATCCCGCAGCCAGGTTTTGAATAAAATGTAGCACCTTCAGTCTTTAACAGAAGGCAAAGGGGCTTTTTGCTCTTGAAAGTCTTGTTTGTAGTGGAGTCAAACCAGAACTTTAAATATTCTCTTGTAACTTAAATGTCATCTTTATAAAATAAAGATAAGAAGAATGGCTCGTAGCCACTTAAGAGATGGAGTTAGACTGCTTTGAAAGACTTGCTCTTGTTCTACTTTGGCACTCAGCATCAAAGTTGTTTTGGTTTGCTACTGCCGACGCGCATCCCAACAGATCTGTAGCCCCATCCGCCGTCAGAAGTAATTACGCTTGATATACGGAGGTTCCGCTTCCAGTGTGATCGCTGCCGTTCTTACAGAAAGACCATGAAGGTCATGCTGTGTACGTTTTTCAGTCGGGGCTCGCAGCTTCTTAATTATCTCAAAAAAGGAGAACGGGATTGATTCCATTAGTGCTGATTTGTTAAATGGAATAGTGTGATTGACTTGTCTGTCCTTCACTGTAATTTGGTTAACTTCTGTAAAGCAATTAAGCATGTCAGCCTCTATACTTTGTCACTCCAGCACGTCCGTCTCTGCGTTAATTAGTCATACGACCGGAAAGTAACTCCTACGTTTTGAGTGCTGATGGGGGTGGGGGGGGGGGTGTTTACTGATTGGTTGCTGCCAGTTGGGAGGGTAGAAAGTGAGTCTTTTTGCATGACTTGTATGTGTTCAGCTGTCTTTGCTTTTCTTTTTACAACTAGATGCAAATCTGCCTCTAGAGCCGTTCGGCTCAAACCGCTATAGATGGTCTCCAACTTGACTGAGTTCCTTCCCGAGGTCGTATGTTAAAATAGACAAGTCGGAATTGGTATGGACAATGCAGTGGACCAATTTCCAACATGGAAAAAATAGGTTCCCAGGCTTCAGAAAGATGTTGCGCAACACAAAATTTTGTAGTAATAAAAAAAAATATTAAAAAATGCTTGCGTTTTAAATCTTTAATCTAATCGAAATGGTAAAGAAACCAAAAGTCATAGTTTCCCATACGTTGGTAGCCCACGCTGTCATTTTCTTTCCTACCACTATTTTTTTTTCTTACCAGGTTGGGTCGTAGATCGCAAGTTGGCCGGTCTGTATTTGAATTGGGTCTAAGAGGAGGGTTTTTAAAACACCAGTGGAACTTACATCTGAACTGATTCCGTATAATTTAAGAAGTCGGACAAGCAGAAAATGATAATCTGCAATTTCAGGTGACTGGTTGTAATCAATGTATTCTGCTGTACTTGATCAGTTTTACAGTTTTCTGCGGTGCTTATTGTATTTAAGTTTTTCAGAGATGTCAGTTACTTGAATGGGTTTTTTTTTTCTCTTGCAGTTTTGTTTTGCACATCTTAAAATACCAGTATGCTGTGAAATGTCCTAGTAATACAGTTAATATTACAGTAATTGTCACAGTTGCCATGGCAGTGATCTACACCTCTAGAAGCATATTGAAACTTAAAGAAACGATACCGCGATATGTAATTTGCCATTGCTGCCAGTACTTTTTAAATTATGCCGTGAAAGATTTTAGGCCATACTGCCCAGCCCTATTTTGTTTCTAATGATGGCTTCTTTTTTAATTGTAAATGGTGTCTACCTGATACAAATGATGATCAGTGACCGCTACTTTTAATAAAATATCTACTTTTTTTTGTTCCACACCTCTCCTGATATCTTCCTCTAACATCAGGCCTCACTAGTTTAAGTGAGGCCTGATGCATGTTGACCACACGTCTGTTCACCACACTGGATTTCTGTGGTCTTTCTGAGGCCGGCCTGCCTCTCCAGCATCCACAAGCAGTTGCAAAAACGGGGGGGTCGTGATCAGTACTCTCCCCAGGCCTGGCTAATTACGGGCGTCGCTGTGGTGGAAATGGGATGTCACTGCCTACATTTTCTAATTCTTATGCTGTCGCGGTTCTCCGCGTGGTGAGCATGCTGGTAATCGGCAAACGTGTTGGCCGATAACGCTTTTCGGTCTTGCTTGTTTGTGTTGCCTTGGGGTTTTTTTCTTACAGGAAATTCACAGCTTAGAGTATAACCTTGTGAAATTAATGCATCGTCAGCACAGATTAATTCAGCCGCAAATGCCGGTTGTCTAGCAGAATTGGGGCGGGGCACGCAATTTGCAGCGGGGTTTAGGCTGCCAATGGGATTTGTTCTGAAGGGGCCAGGCTCCTCCCACCTCCACAACAGCACATGACTCCTCAGGACTGCTGAAAGCACAGAGTGCCCCATAGTCCAGGCGTGGGGCAGAAGGTGCTGTCAGCCACTGGGTGAGGGTGAGATTTCAGTTTTCTTTCCTACCGCTGAGATTCTCTGTCGTCAGGTTGGGCTGTAGATCGTACATTGGGGACAGTCTGTATTTTAATTGTGATGGATGGGTCCAGATAGGATTAAAAAAACAAAAAAAACAAAAAACTTGAGTTGCATTTCCTGTGTAATTCTTAGTGCCTTTGTCAGACTGCTGAGAAGATCAGCATCTCTCTGATCCATACCACCCTTCAGCCAGCAGGGGTGCTGTGCATGCAGCATTCCTCCACGGCTCGGCTGTGAGATGGCACCCTGCGACGGACAGAGTAAAGCTTCAGCTTTTCTTTCTCCTGAGCTTGTGTTGTATAAACGCGGCTCTTCTCGGCTGCCATGCTTCCTCCCACAGACCGTCTGCCGGCAGACAATTTCTCGAGCGCTTTGACTCTTGACGGCAGAAGCGGCTGTAGTGGCTGCAGGCACCGGTTACCTGCCGAAAGGCGTTGTTGGCATGGGGCACGCAGGAAGGCCGAGACCCTCCATGGATATCTCTGTAGCACCTGTGCCTGGCCTGCCACAGCTTTTGCGGTCGTAAGCTGTAATCTGGGCTGGCCGTGCTGGCCTGTCAGAAGCGCGCCCATCGTACGCCTCCACTCCTGTCTGCAGCGATGCATCCTGGGACGCCTCCACATAGACGGATGGCAGCCAAGCTCCGGTCTCCGGTGTTGCGGTTATGTGTAGCTTGGGTTGGGATCCCTATTTTGGCGGGTGTTCCCCCCCCCCCACCGCTTGCTGAGGACACACCTCCTACTTATGCCAGCTAGCGGCTAAGCCGATATACATCAGTCTCTCTCTCCAGTGCATGGTTTTACACTCTAGATTTAATTTGACCACCATTTCTCAGTTATGATTCCTGCTATGAATAATTTTTCTGTGTAATGAAGAAGACCATCTGTGTGTCTCAGTAGTGTTGTCTAATTTTAATAAACTGTTACATAGCTGTAGTTTTTTAAACTTTTTGTTTTGATAAGAAATCTAACGGTTTAAGTCCTACTGAGGTCTTTTTCTTTGGGTGAATGTTTTTGATATGCGGGGGAAATGAAGAACAGGTGTTCCTGCTGGGTTCTGCTTTAGTGCTGGGGCTGTCTTGGCTAGCATGACACAGAATGCCATGCCTTCCGACGCCTTCTGACGCCTTCCTCTGCCCACAGGCCTATGAGCTGTCCACGCTGACTGGGACGCAGGTCCTGCTGCTGGTGGCCAGTGAGACCGGCCACGTGTACACGTTCGCCACACGCAAGCTGCAGCCCATGATCACCAGCGAGACGGGCAAGGCCCTCATCCAGACGTGCCTGAACTCACCCGACTCGCCGCCGCGCTCCGACCCCACCTGTGACCAGCGTATGAGCGCCACGGGCTTCGAGGAGACGGACCTCACCTACCAGGTGTCCGAGTCCGACAGCTGCGGGGAGAGCAAGGTGAGCAGCGCATGTGACGTGCGGCGCGGTCCGACGTGTGACTTTCATAATTGTAGCAGCTTAACATGCAGTTGGGTAGAGGGAAAGTAAAGGTCTTGCTTTCAGCATCTCTGACACTCTTTTTTTTTTTTTTTTTTAAAAGAGAAAATGGGTCGTAAGTAGGAATGTCACCCGGTCACATGCTGAGCCTTACAGGCTAGGTGCTCGAGGTTTGGCGTTTCCGATACCGTCGCCAGTCCGTATCCATATCCTGTGCCATCACAACCTGGGCTCTTGTGATTTCATCACTGACCACAGTCAACTCGTATGGGCAGCATGCTTGTAGGATGTTCTGCACACAGCAGATCATGAAGGTTCTTTGGATGATGCAGATTTTGTCTACATTGCCACCCTACTCACTTTTCATGCACAGGTTGCACTGATGGGTGGGGGAAACCCATGCTGTTCTACACAATAGCTGGAAAAAGCTTGTTGTGGGGCACATGTCACTTTCACGCTGATGATTGGGACATCCACGGCTGTCCTAATCCCATCTTCAGGTAGCAGAAGCTGGTTTCCCTTCTCGATACTTCTGCCCTGCTTACCTGCCATAAAGGCATTCTTCAGCATTTAGTGTCCTAGTCTCTGCCTCACTGGGGAAATATTACCAGTACTTGGAATGGTTCCACCGACCCCCCCCCCCCCCCCCCCCCCTCCCTCCCGCCCCCGCCCCCTTCACCACGACCACCAAGAAAAGTGAGATTAGGGGCGGCTTGTCAGATGAGGAACAGCACAGCAAAACCTCAAATTTGTAAGGGCCCCTGTCTTGGTCTGAGCATGCTTGAACTTAGCGTGAACTTTAGCATGCGTGCTAACCTAGCTGAAGTTCAACGCCGAGCCCGCAGCTGTAACGTGGTTGGCAGCTTTGGGACCCAGTGTGTTTAGTGAGGGTCTGAGGATTCCCCTCTGTAAAGGGAATGTGGTTCTTTCCATAGAGGGTTTATTCCCTCATTCCTTTACAGCTTTTTGAAACAATTCAATTTTATTTATATAGCACTTTTAACAACTTTCATTGTCACAAAACACTTTACACATAACCGGCCCAAACCCCCACCAAGCAAGCCTGAGGTGACAGTGGCAAGGAAAAACTCCATCTAGCCGGAAGAAACCTTGAGCGGAACCTAGACTCGGAAGGGGACCCCATCCTCCTCTGGGTGCTGAAACAAACATGACGTCACCGCTGGGAGAGCACTGCCGACGTCACCGCTGGGAGAGCACTGCCGACGTCACCGCTGGGAGAGCACTGCCGACGTCACCGCTGGGAGAGCACTGCCGACGTCACCGCTGCCTGCCGCTTCTGTAGCCTTTTGCCTCATGATACTGTTTTTGTTTTACTTAGCCT